AATTGTCCTGGCGATTCCAGAGAAGAACATGCAACTCTGCCTAACAGAAGTTCTCTTGACAAGTGTGCTACACACTCTAGCCGTCTGCCCATGGTACTCAACCAACAGAGTAAGCAACAAAGCCTGACCACTAGTACTCCTACCCAAAACTTTAGTAAGCTTACTGACGTCGCCCTTATACTCTCACTACTTCCGAAACTCATGCTTCCAAAAATATTTTTTGAGGTAGGTATTCTGCCATGGCAAACTGCAACGTGATTTCTCAGACACTTACAGTATGACCTAAAGGTTGGAATTTCGTAAAAAATGGTAGACAGCGGAAAATATTATTATAATTGTGCTTTCTCAGGACCCTATTCACAGTGGAAAATCCATGCTACCTCCAAATGAAATGCACCTTCTTTACGCGCACCTCTAGGTCACAGCTTATATAAAGCACCTTCTAAATGACATTTAAACAAATTCACTCCTAAATTATGCAAACAACCCAAGAACTCTACCTCGTACCTTCCATATTTGTAAGCCTTTATTGAAAATGTGGCCAAATTGTAATGTTCCTGTCCGTGAATTGGTGTAAATGTTATCATAAACAGACTTCGATTTCTAGTCTGAAATTGTGATGACATTAATAACAATTTGATCTAGCCCAAAATTTGGCATACCCCAAATAACAAGCTGTTATTTGAAAAAAATATATTGTCATTATCATTTAAATTCTCTTCTCGCCCTCTAACCCGTGTATTGATATCTGTATCGGATCTATCTAGTTTATCGATTATGTTACCCATGTACATAAATGTAAATGGATGTGGAAATCCATGAAGTCAATGACAGGTGGACTGAGTCATGTTGATAGGTGTCGACTACGTGGTTGGAGTCCACGATATGGTAGTAATCGATGGTTAGGGACCCTGAATGACATGGCTCAAAACCGTTTGTAATGGCGCAGGTGCATTCATTCTGTGTGTTCTCTTAAATTCTCACCTTCTGAATTTCTCATCATCTCTGTCTTCTTCTTTCTAAATTTATCTCACCGAATTATACTTCTCGAATTATATCTTCGAACCCTAATCTTCTCCATTACTGCTAATACTTCTACTATCGCTACCACTGTGTGATTTGAACTGTCAGTTGCGTCTCTGTGCTAATGTGGTATGGCAACCTGAACTGATATACTTACGTAGGAATTTCTGCGTTTTATCTGTCTGTCTCTCTGCTAAATCTTCCGCATATTTACGTTTGTTGGCTCTGATGCATCTCTTTACCTGCTTGTTCGCTCCTGTTTATTCAACTTGTGTCTTGGCTTTCTGTGTTCTTGTTTTGCTGATTGATTGATTGCTGCTTTCTTTTTCCTCCTTTCTTGAATTTTATCCAGAGTATTCACTGAGATCCATTCCTCCTGTTGGCACTCCTTGTGGCCCAGTACCTCATGAAGTGATTGCTTCCTTGATCCTTTTCTAATTGTTCTCCATGGTTGTTTCCTCTCCAGTAAGTATATCTTGCAAAGTCTGGAACCGAATGCTGAGGGCTATCTTTAATTCAGTATGCTATACAGTATTCCAAAGAAAGTCTTTATTAAACTTTCGGGAGGTAGTCCATCCAGTTGTCCAGTGCCTCTTTATTTTCAGTTTTGTCTTGGTGGCCACCAAGTGGTGATTTGAGGTTATACCCGCTCTTGTCTTTCTTCCCACATCACCCATCGACTTTCCGAACTTTTTATTTACATGGATATGGTGGTTTTGTTTCTGAGTAGTGTGATCCAGTTAAATCCATGCAACTTTGTATGCGCGTTTTGTTGGTTTGTGATGCCGAATACAAACATTTTTTAAATCAAATGGATTTGCGAAACTCGCACCATTTTTGTTCCTTTCTCTCAGTCCACTACATCGCATGTTGTATTCATATCCAAACAGGTCTCATCTTTACATTTCGGTGGCAACTGAAATTGTTCTACTGGTCTCTTACATTGTACGAACATTTAATGTACCTATCTTAATGGTCGCTCTGGTCGTTAGAAATGGTATCGATCTTGCGACTTCGAACAAACTTGGCCTCCACTACCAGGAATTATAATTTTTCTAAATGAAGAATGTTCAAACTCCATGGTAGAGACAAAGTGGTTTGAATTAGTTTATCCGGTCATGGTTTTCTGGCAAGTTGGTTTTCAAGGATTAACGAACTCCATGCTCAACATACCTTATTTATGCGGACGTGAGGCTAGCGTTATCTCTAGAAAAGCTCCAAGGAGATAAAGTGATCGACATGAGTAATTTTGATGGATTTTTATTTGCCTGCCCTAGTTTTGGATCGAGGTCAGAAAAAAAGCTTTAATGGTGCACTCACATCTATCTCATAATTTAGAGAGCAAGAATGGAGAGTGTTCACCCTTGTTAAACACAGAAACACTTCACTATTTAGCTGAAAAAAATTTAAAATGATAACTATATAAAAAAGAAAGTGATTAACCCTGAATACTAATCATGTCTTTCCAAGTTATTTTCGGGTTATATGTTTTCTCCGAGTCACATAAATTTAGTTGCTACAACTGCATATTTAAAGTGGAACAACTGCGAACAAGGTGGGCATTATTTCTACAAGTGAGAAACATTTGTAACTCAAAACAACTATCAACCAACACCCAAGTAACAATTTTCAGTACCGTATCCGGGCTGTAACATGTTCATTAATTCTGTATTTGTAGTTGGGGATAATTAGATAAAAAGGCAGGTCGCGCGCATTTAATCTATTGATAGCTGTACTGACAGCTGTGCTTCCTGCTGGGACTAAAATATTCCGGTTCACATAATATTTATTATCTTAGCAAAAGCCTTTGACACAGCACACCACGTACTCCTAATTGCAAAGGTTGCGTAAATGGGCGTCACTAACCTATTCCTATCTTGGCTTAGGATCTACCTTGAGAATAACAGGTTTAGACCAGTCGAAATTCCTCTTTATGAACACTGTCACACATAACCCCTCACGACTGCATCATCACCTCTAGGTAATCCTCGAAAAATTGTGCATCAAACAGCAAATACTCATGTTCGTGCACACTTGTTCTCACTGAGGGTTGTTGCAAAGTGGGATGTTCTCCCAGTGGAGGTGACCACAGCACCCTCAGTGGACAGCTTTAAGAAGAGAATTGACAAACACGTACTAACATACCGATTATCTTCTCCCTCGTGAACAAGCTGTGTCTGATGCATATCTTGAGACCTATTATTATTATTATTATTATTATTATTATTATTATTTCCATCTCCTTAGATCACTAACTAAATCTATCTCGCCTATTATCTGTTTCCTCTCCCTTGCTTACACTCCGGTCCTCTCTCACAATCTTCACAACCAATTGGTAAACTAAATTATCTGCATATTACTTGGTTCTGAAATCCTCTTGTTAGCATTAGAAATTTCTCCTTATTATTCTCCACATTGGGGGTAACTGATCTCTGGCCTGGTAATGTGATAGCTGCTTTTATCCAAAAGGCCTACTGACCTGAAACAAACGTTTTCACTCAAATCATGGGACATACAAATTCGTCAATAACTGCCAACTGACCAGAATCAGGCAATCTAGTGGTTAGACTAGCATCAATTCGATACTAACAACTACCTGGAAACGTACCGACAGAAAAAGTATCGAGCACCTAAAAATCAATTAGTTTACACTAGCTCCTGTAAAAGAGACTAGATATAAGATCTGTACATTTGTCTTTATTTTTGTTAGTTTTGTATGCAAAAGACCGGTTTTTCCACTTTTGTCGCAGATATGCATGTACTGAGTAGAGTAACAGGCCTTATTTGGCATCAAAACGAAGGATCTGCGCGGTCCCGAATGCGATAATCATATTAGCTTATAAATTTCCCGATTGTTTAATTCATTTGCATAAACTTTTCATCGTTCAATACTAGCATTAGCACATTCACAGCTCAGGTTTTTCTGGTATTATGTTCCATAATTTAGGGTTAATGCTCTTACCTAAGACTGTTAAACTTCATGAACATGTGGGTCAGCAATCTACAACCTGCTCTTTCCCCCTTACAAGTTGCTGCTAAATGCGTTTAGTTCTCCTGATACATGCCTGCAACTTTTGCTCCCACGTATCCCTTTGTCTGCCAGCTGGAGAACATATGAATTCAATCAAAAATGATGAACAAATATGAGATAGAAAATGAAGTTGAGATAAACGGCAACCAAACAAGCCCATAGCGAGTGGCGGTAAAGTATTCTAAATCAACCAATGCAGATCAGGATTCCCAAGACAAGCTGACATTGATATGTGGAGAAATTCAGTTTATCCGCTTGCATTTTAAGTCGTTTTGAAGAATGACGACAGTTTCACGAACAAACCATCAAGATCAGCGAAAGGAAACTGGCTAGAATCGCCTTCCTGATTGGCAGCTTTTCTTTATTTTGCTCGTTATATAACAAGAGATGCCTGAGTATGCCTTTAGTTCAGTATCACGGAACCAAAATTAAATATTATATAAACTTCTGTATCTACGGGTTATTAATAAATCCAAACTGAATCCTCACAGAGCTTTCGCCTGTAAAGTTGATGAGCACAGCTAGTTTCGAAAAAATCATTCTGTGAACACCATTTGAGACGTAAAAACACTAAAGGGGTGAATTATTGTAAATATGGTTATGATTTCTACTAGTGCAATAAAGTGGCTAGATTACTATCCATTGTACACTAACGAACGCCTGTAGTCGTACAGAACAAACAAGAATTGAGTGCAAAGAAATTGATTGTTTTGTACTAGCTCGCGTAAAATATTTTGGATTAGATATTGGAGTTCATTTTAAGGATATAGCTAATATGGTCTCAAATTATTTGTTGCGCGATTAGAGGCTAGTGATTCCGAAACCAGAGTAATTAATTTAGACAGTCGCCAAAGCGTAATTACATTTGGTTTGTTTAGCGGAAGTAAAGGCGGGTGTTTAAATTTCGATTGTAATTGCGCTCGGACGCTTAGGCTTCGATTTTCCTATGCCGTCAAAGAATAGTCACGAGTCTGAGGAAAGTGCAGGTGAAGATGAATTTCAGGTGGAAAAAATTCTGAAGGTTCGTATAAGAAATGGACGAAAGGAGTATTTCCTCAAATGGAAAGGTTATTCAGAGGAGGACAATACTTGGGAACCAGAAGAAAACTTGGATTGTCCTGACCTAATTAAGGTAAGTTTTGATATTAAATATTTATCACGATATTCATTAATGTATGTTTACTTAGTTTACGTTAACTTACAATAGCTTCGGTAATTTATTAGTCTTTGTTATATCAGGGCTGCACTTCGGAAGATTATATGTAAAGTACCTGAATACTGCTTAAGTAAATGTAAGGGAAAGGCTCGGGTGTGTTCCCAGCATACGTGGTTTTACTTTCAGTGTACCGACTCAACTATGAATGTACCACAGCTTATCCTTGATATTACAATCAGTTATGTGGAATTTAACCGGAACAGCCTTCCGAATAGCTGATTTTTGCATATATTTGTCTTGCAGGAATTCGAAGAAAGACGAGCTCGTGAAAGAACTTCGCTCACCAGTCCTGCCAGAGCGAGTACTGAATCGAAGCCAAAAAACAGGTCGAAGGGTTCATCACTCAGTTCAGATGGCGCAAAGGACATTGGCGAAGAAGTACCTGAACCGGCAAAGAAAAAGCGAACATCTAGCTTACCCATAAATGCGGAAGAGTCAGCTGGCGAAGTACCCAGTGTACCAGATGAATCGAAAGAACTGACAAATGAAGAACAAAAAGTTAGTTGCAAAATATTAAGTTGTATTAGATAAATCACACCCAGTTCTTTTCGTTCAGACATAACAAATGTTCCTTAATTTAATAGTTCGAGAATATATTTGTACATTGCCTTATAATATCGGTCCAAAAATGTCAATATTTGTGCAATTCGTTTTCAGCCTAAAGTCGCTAAATCAACAGGAAAAACACGCGGATTCGCCCGTGGACTAAAAGCTGAGAGGATCATTGGAGCCACGGACTCAAGTGGTGAACTAATGTTCCTAATGAAATGGTGAGTCCCTCACTTAACATGGCCTAGTCATGTTCAATACTTTGAATAGTGTGGTGACTCTTCATCATACTATCTATTTCTTCGTGTACTTTCAGGAAAGATTCGGACGAAGCTGACTTAGTGCCTGCTCGCGAAGCCAACATCAAGTGTCCACAAATCGTTATCCGGTTTTACGAAGAAAGGCTTACCTGGCACACACCAGAAAACCGACCTTCCGGGACTCCACGCTCTGGAGCTACCACTCCAAGCACTGCGACTGCAACAGCACGCACCTAACACAACCATTTCGCATTTGGCCAATTACTTGGCTTTACTCCTTTTTTAACCTCGCATTTCTGTAAAGATGTCATTTTGCTTATGTATTATATCAGATGTACGTATCCTCCTTATCTACTCGTTCCCTTATAATGGATTTCAAGTTCATGTTATTTCTTTTTATTCACAATCCACTAAACAAGTGGCGCATCACAATTTATTTTCTGTGTACTGGTTGAAATCAAAAACGATAAGCTATCGGAGTTAGTCATACAATACATCACGTCATAGCCCCTACACTACGAAAGTAAGACTTTATTGTCAAAACTGGTTTCAAGGCATATCATAGACTATATGTGGTCAGAGTTAAAAATACAGATGGAGTATTCGTAATTCAGTGGTAACGGCAATATACTAGTTTGGAATTCCAAATTTAATAGAAACCATAGAGGTGTCCTCTACATAATTAAAGCCGAATTAAAAAAATCAATCCGTGTATCATCTATCAATAGCATCGTAAAACTTCATAGGTACATCAGTTCGTACTGACATACAACATTAGCACAAAGATGTAATTGTCAAATCAAATCCCATATTAGCACATGTAGTAAAAGTATTCGCAGTAATCGGAGAGATTAGGGTTCGACGAAATAATTCGGTGAGATAAATTTAGAAAGAGAAAGATAGAGATGATGAGAAATTCAGAAGATGAGAATTCGAGAGAACACACAGAATAAATGCACCTGCGCCATTGTTAACGATTTCGAGCCATGTTCAAGGTCTCTAACCGTCGATTACTATCATCTCGTAGACCCCAACCACGTAGTCGACACCTATCAACATGACTCAGTCCACTTGACTTCATGGATTTCTGCCATGTTTTGGCTCGGCCTTACCTTGCACCCATTTCCTAACAACAGCATTGCCTACTCGGTTGTCACATGATGCACGAGCAATGCTTCGGGGACACCTATGATCGAAAACCAGTAACCTACGAATATCTTCTACTCTGACTGGCCATGTTTCGCAGCCATAGGGTAGGATGGAGTGAACTGCTACACAGTACACTCGTCCTTTGGTTAGCAAACGGATATCTCGCCTACGCCATAAGTGACGTGAGTTGACGAAAGCCAATCGAGCCTTCTGTATCGGTGATGAGATTTCGTCAGTCACCAGGCCATCGGCACTGATCAGACTGCCGAGATAAGTAAACCGGTCGACACGCACAGCTGTTTCACTCTCTGTTACTAGTTCAGTTGCCGACGCAGGAGAATCAAGAATCAGTATTTCGCATTTCGACGGGGAGAATCGCATTCCGAACATGCTCGCAATTTCGATTATGGTCATAATCTAAATGAGTACCTATCTCTTAGAGGAGTGATTATATGGCTTGAATTAGTTTTCCTCGTTAGCGTTTTTTCGTAGGTAATTTCTTTTTCCACCATGGGGTCGTCAACCCACATCTGAAACCTCCTTCATTCGTGCTGGGACCGGCATTAGCCCCAGAGGGTCTACTGGCAGATTTGTTCGTGTATCATACAAGACTTCAAACTACCTGTTGAAGTCAGATTGGACCATTGGTCATTTTATCTATTCTAGCTGAGAGGTCCTAACCTAAATAAGCGTCATAAAGTCACAGTCAACTTCACCACGTTCTGTTTATAGATTGGTGTTTCGTAAGTATTTACACTGAGTGGGCGTGATTGCTCCATACACAGTTGCATTTAAACGCCATTAGCCTTGTTTGTTTGTACTACGATTGTCTAGTAGTCCTCAGCCGAACTTCCATGTCGACATTGCTACTTAGGCTTATTCTCGTTTTGTTGTGAGCTGCGAAGTGTAAGCAATTGCCCAGTGTGGTCCCATTGGATGGTAACTCATTTTTTGTGTTAGCAATAGGTCTTAGTGAAAAATAATTCAAACCATGTAAACTTTGCTCTGGGAGTTATTAGGTCTTATTTAGAAGTGTCATGATAAAAGCCGAGTTCCTTCGGCTTTACATCCGCCCTCATACCCATAAAAGCACAGGAGACCGATTCGACCACAACCAAATCCTTTCTGCACCTGATAACTTTTATCTCATCAACCAACCTTTCCTTCGATCGTTTGTCAGCTGAAGCAAACGGCTTTAGCTCAGGAAACCTTATTCCTAGTCTCCTGAAACCCTGTACTAAATTACAAATCTGAACTCTTAATGTTCGAACCTTGTACAAAACGGGTTAACAGGCTTCATTAGCTAGAACTTTGGAATCCCGTGCAACCGATGTGTTGTGCCCCCGAATTGCGCACACAAGATCCGAGCAAACTAATCAATTTGACTTCACCTAGTGCAGATAGCGGAATAACACAGTTTACGCTTTGTGTTTCAGGTAGCCCTGACGCTTCTTTCCATGGCCTCGCTGGCATAGAATAATATTAAGTCATCGGACAGAACAAAGATCTCTTAGGCCGGATCCCGATAGGGTCCCTTATGCGCAGTCCGACTAAACGAGACAGTAGGGACTCGGAATGACGGTGACGCCCTCCGATGCCTATTCGTCGTCCAAAAACCTGTGGAAACAGCAATGATATTTGCAAGTAAGGTAAACAATAAGGTTAGAAAGGAACAGTGGATTTCAGTAACATCTACCGAACTGAGGAATGCTTGAAGACTCATCCCGCCTGCCTCCGAAAATAACGAAGAGCGAATTCAACTTAAGTGCAAGCTGATAAAAAGCCTACGCAATGATTGCGAACAGTGGTGGGTAGAGAAAGCGGGAGAGATGGAAAATGCAGCGGCGATAGGCAACTATTCAGACTTATCAGGGAAACCAGTATTAGGAACCCGAACGTAAGTGAGACTTTCTCGGGAAAGGATGGCTGTATCATTCACTCTCAATCCAGGGATTAGTTCAGTTGGCCTTCAGCCATTCCTCGGTTGCCCACGATCTCCAGTTATCCTGAATGGCAAACCGACTATCCATGAAGTTGAGAAAGCGATAGGAAATCTGAAGTGAGAGAGGGCAGCGGGTCCTGATAAGATGAAGCCTGAAATTTTTGAGGATGGTGGTCCAGTTTTAGCAGCTAGATTCAGTGAGATCTATATTCGAATACGGGAACTGGGCGTAATCCCATCCAACTGGTTTCAATCACTGATAGTCCCAATCCATAAGAAAGGAAAAAAGTCCTCTTGCGACAATCACAGTGGAATCAGTCTGACTAATGTAGCTTCTAACTTGATCCTTAGACGCCAAACTAGAGCTCGTGAAGAGTAGACTCGAGAAAGCCAGGCATTTTGCAGACCCTTCTGACAACTAGGACCCTTCCACAGTGTGGGGAGCCAGGAAGTAACATCAGCCCTCATACCCACAAAAGCACACGAGACCATTTCAGTCTCAATTTAATCCTCACTGCACATCCTAATAACTCTCTTATCTCCTCGACCAACCCGTCCTTCGGAATTGGTTACGTCACGTAGTGTCCGTCAGGGATGTCCACTCTCTCCATTCTTGTTTAATTTTCAGGAGGTTCACTGGTTGACTTAGAATATGCCGATGACATAGTCCTACTTGGTGAAGACACTGACAAAATGCAGTCTTTTGATTACTCTAAGCAACAATGCAAGCATGTTTGAGATGCGGTTCTCTCCGTCGAAATGAAAAATATTGCTTCAAGATTGGCTTGCAACAGCACCTGAACTAGTGATAGGGAGTGAAGTAGTCGAGCGTGTAGACCGCTTCACTTATCTCGGCAGTCTGATCAGTGCCGATGGCCTGGTGACTGACGAAATCTCATCACCGATACAGAAGGCTCGATTGGCTTTCGTCAACTCACGTCACTTATGGCGTAGGCGAGATATCCGTTTGCTAACCAAAGGACGAGTGTACTGTGTAGCAGTTCACTCCATCCTACCCTATGGCTGCGAAACATGGCCAGTCAGAGTAGAAGATATTCGTAGGTTACTGGTTTTCGATCATAGGTGTCCCCGAAGCATTGCTCGTGCATCATGTGACAACCGAGTAAGCAATGCTGTTGTTAGGAAATGGGTGCTAGGTGAGTACGGCAGATCAATATATGAAGTATTGAAACTTCATCAGTTGAGGTGGTTGGGACGTGTGTTACGACGCATGCCTAACCACCGACTGCCTCGTCGAGCTATGTTTTGCGATGTTGGAATAGGTTGGAAGAAAGTTAGCTGAGGTCAGACCAAAACATAGTAGAAGTCCATGAAACCACTGACAAGTGGACTGAGTCATGTTGATAGGTGTCGACTACGTGGTTGGGGTCTACGAGATGATAGTAATCGACGGTTAGAGACCTTGAACATGGCTCGAAATCGTTAACAATGGCGCAGGTGCATTTATTCTGTGTGTTCTCTCGAATTCTCATCTTCTGAATTTCTCATCATCTCTATCTTTCTCTTTCTAAATTTATCTCACCGAATTATTTCGTCGAATACTTTCGGCGAATACTTTTACTACATGTGCTAATATGGGATTTGATTTGACAATTACATCTTTGTGCTAATGTTGTATGTTAGTATGAACTGATGTACCTATGAAGTTTTACGTTGCTGATGATTGACAGATTAATCGTAATTTTCATGCGGTTCCATCTCATTATGTCTGTAGTTTCTACGACAGCTGTGCAGTTGAAATCTGTTTATGTAAACCGAAGTTTGACTTACTTGACTAAATCTCCGTGAAATTCATACACCTTACCGATATTTCAGCATACAAGGTTGTACATTTTCGAACGCGGAGAACAAGCTAGCATTTCTTCCTACATCGTTATCTTCATGTATTTCCTGGCTCGGGTGTTTTCCTTCATCCTTATATCAACGCATCCACCTGTGCTTTTTACCCCTAATTGAACATAGACTTCCGACCAGCGTTCATTCAACAGCTTTATAAATGTCACATTTTTTGTAATTTTGTTTTATTATTAGGTACATAGTAATGTACTTAGCTTTCAAGCACGCTGTATAAGTACCATGAATAGTCGTTGGCTACTCAGAGTGAGGTAGTTGATGTGGGATTTTA